AAATCCTTTTTTAGAAAATTGTATCATGACTCTATGTACTGTTATAACATCTTCTAACCTCTTTTTCCCTTAATTGTACAGTTTAATAGCATCATTTTGTTTTATAGCTACACCATAAAGTTATTCTTCATTGTGAGACATTTGGATGGTTCTCAAATTTTCATTCTTAAAAAAACATACTGTGATGAGTCTTTATATAGATATGTGTGTGTTGTATATCCTATAGAAAACAAATATACAATATACGTCACTCACATGCATTTATTTTTGTTATTTTCTTAGGATTTGTTAAATATTTCTAGAAAGGACTCTTTGATAAGGAACTGCTGGGACAAAGAATATTGACAAGTGAAGATTTATTACTAAATAATTGCTCACCCAAAGAATTCCAATTAACTGTATATTCCTACTAGTTTGTTTACCTTCAGTTCCAGCAACACTCCCTTTGACACTGATATTTACTGAACTATAATGTATACATGGAAATGTGTACAAATTATAAGCTCAATGAATTTTCACAAACTGATACTATCAATGTAATGGACTCAGTTCAAGAAATTTATTACCAGCACCCTGGAAGCTCTCCTTGTGTCCATTTTTATTCACACTTCAAAGGATAATTATTAACTTCTCACTGATTTGATTAGTGTGGCCTATTTTAGGAATTTATCTAAATGAAATCATACTGTATGTCTTCTTTTGAGCCTGACTTTTTTCAAGCAACCTTGTGTTTGTGAAATTAGTCCATGTTGTTGAAGTTGTAGAGTGTTCTATATATTTGAGCTCTATGCTATATTGTTTCAAAGCCAGCATTCTTTAATTGTTGTCAGTCTGAAAGTGTAAAATACGGTGTTACAGTTTTCACTCACAATCTTTGATTTAATGTGAGGTTGAACTTTTTTTTTTTTGGCTTCACTGGTTATTTATATTTGCTCTAGTGTGGCATTGGTCATTTATTGTTCTTCTGTGGTAATACTGGTTTCTCTATTGTAAATAAATCTTTCACTTTTGCCCAAGCAATAGGTTACATTGGCCTTTAGTTACAAAATAGAAGAATGACTGTTGTTTCCTCACTCTTTCCCAAAAGGCCAATTAAGACTAAAAACTGTTCTTTTGACAAGGTAACAAGTTTCCCTTCTGGGACTCCTGTAGTTGCGGGGTCTTGATCCTCAGTAGTGAGAAAAGGAACATGATATGTGGATTCCAGATCCCAAAAGTGAATTATCCACATTTCGGGCTGAAGCCGTTTCTCACCTATCATGCTGATTCCTCTGACTTTTGCTACTTTATACTTTTTTGGGTATTTTTTCAAAACCTGCTTTTCTTGAAATGCTGACCAGTCCTGGTTAACTGTTTGCTGCCCCAGGGTACAAAGCTTCTCTAAAGTTAAAGCAGATCCATACCCCGGACTGATAAAGGGTGAGATAGATAAGAAACTCTAGGGGTTTGAAAATCACTGGCTAAGAGGAGGACAGAGATTCTGATTTAATTAATTTATGGAGAAGTTTGGACATTAGTCGTTTGAAAAGGGCTCCAGGTGATTACAGTGGGTTGACAGGATTGAGAATAATGGAAAATTCTGGCTCCTAAGCTGATACATTCAGGTGCACTGAATAGATCAGTTTTAACCTATAAGTAAAGAAATGCCCCTGCCTGTTTATATCATGGCAGACTCCCAGAGATGGGACAACATCTTAATATTTGCCTTTTCCAAGCAAATATTATTTGTGGACAATGCCACAAATTTCACTTCTAAAGTATAATTCCCCATTCTTACTGCTTTGATTCATAGTAAATGAAAATTGTCCTAAAGGTACGAGTATTTTACTGCTGAATATGACAGCTTGTCAGATCATTATGTGAGAAACATCGTGGTAATGGAAAGAAAGCAATGGAGAACTTCCCATGTTGGAGAGTGTAAGAAGAAGAAATGGAGGTAGAGAAAACAGTCTATCCTTTGTAAACTTTCCTTAGGTCCCAAAGAATTCTAGGACTTTTTAAGGACTGTAGTTCTTCCTTTGTGAGGCTTTGTAAGTATCCTTTTCAGTTTTGCAAAGGAAACTCTAGGAAAGTGGTTGAAAACCCACAGTCCCTTTGGCATGCTTAAAGAACACAGGAGCCAACAGAGAGCTCCCAATGGCCAAATGTTGAACAGTTTGAGCAACAAAAGACATAAATTGGTATTACGTTATAACCCAAAGTGCAAAATAATTACCTATAATTAGCTATGAGTCCTCCCTAATATAAATACATGTTAGAATAAGTAAATATGAGAATGGACAAATTTTCCATACAGAAGAATTCAAATTTTTGTGTAGATACTCCCCACTCGTTAAGCATGAGCTATGCATAATGACATTTTCCCAAAACATACAATATGGAAAGACTGGGGGGAGACTATAGTGCAGATACCTGGCAGACACCACCTCAGCCAGACAATAAAAGTTAATATCAGCCATCATAATTCATATTCATATTGTGTATCCTTGATATAATGCTTTGAGGATGGCACTTTACCTCTGTGGTTCAAAACTCTATAACTCCAGTCTTAACAGGAGAAAAACTTAACCCATACTGAAGGACATTGTAAAAAATACATGACTAGCACTTTGGGAGGCTGAGGAGGGCAGATCACATAAGGTCGGGAGTTTGAGGCCAGCCTGGCCCACATAGTGAAACCCTGTCTCTATTAAAAATGCAAAAATTAGCAGGGTGTGGTGGCACACACCTATAATCCCAGCTACTCCAGAGGCTTAGGCAAGAGAATTGCTTGAACCCATGAGGCAGAGGTTGCAGTGGGCCAAGATAGCACCACTGCACTCCAGCCTGGCTAACAGAGCAAGACTCCATCTCAAACAAAACAAAACAAAACAAAACAAAACAAAACAAAACAAAACTTGACTTATACTACTCAAAATAGTTTGGAGAAACTGTCACAGCCCATAGGACGCTAAGGATACCTTACTACTAATGTGGTATACTGGTGAGCTCCCGGAACAGATGCTTAAAAATGTCTTTATAAATGTCATTTTAAAAGTCTAAAGAAATCTGAATATTGCATGGATTTTAATAAAAACATGTCAATATATGTTCTTTAGTTATGACAAATATGCCATAATAATATACGTTCTGACAAGCCAAACTTTAGTCAGGTTTCTAAAACTTCTAAGCCCACCTCTGCACTTCCTTGGAAAATCCAGTTTTAGCAATTCCTACTACATCAGCTTAGCAAGAACCCCTATACTCAATATCCAAACACTCAATCTGATTAGGTCTCTCTTCCTCCACCAACCCGAAGGTCATGTCTGATTACTCTGACCTGTCTTCAGCAAAAATCCTGGTAGGTCAGTTTAGCCAGAATTGCTTTCACTCCTGATGTTTTCTCCTAGTAATTTTTAATCCACTGACCCCCACCCCACCCCCGCACTATAAATTCTCACTAGCCCATGCTGTATTTGATTTGAGCACAGTCTCTCTCTCCTGCATTGCATGTGGTCCCTGTACCTATTGCAGTGTTCCTAAATAAAGTCATCCTTGCTGTGCTTTAATAAGTATCACTGAATAATGTTTTCTGTAACAGATGTTAACCATAGAGAAAACTGAGTGTGCAATATACAGGAATTCTGTTTTATCTTCACAAATTTTGTGAAAATCAAAAACTATTTTAAAATTAAAAGTTTATCAAAAAAAAAAGTAAAGAAGGGAAGGAAGGCAGGAAGGAAGGGAGAAAGATTCCCACATGAGCAGCAGCCATCAGAATCTTGTCAAAATTTCAAATTCTCAAGTCACAGCCCAGACCTTCTGAATCAAAAACTCGGGGGATGTAGCAGCAACCTGTGATTGAGAACCATGATCTAGTTGGTTGACCAAGAGCTCTGCTTCCAGGTGCTACGCATTTTAGATGTGGTCGTGTTACTTTTTCTTTAATGCCCAAGAGTGAAGAATCAGATTAGGCTTTACTGTAACTTCTGATTACTGAATTGTTACCTTTCACAAAGGAATGACATGTCTGCCTCTGTTCTTCTCATATTGAGATTTGAACCCCGGGGCCCTTCTCAGACCCTGTTGTGCTCATGTCTTCCATAACTTCTCCAGCACACAGAGAACTCTTCCACCTCTGATATCCCCAAGCACATAATCATGTACCAACTCTCATGTTTCCAGAGGCTATATAAATCAAGGCAGAGTGTAGATTCCCTGGAGACAGAAAACTTCACCTATCAGATGGTGACCTTGGGTAAATTGTTTATTCCCTCTGTACCTGAGTTTTCTTTCTGTGAACTGGGGATGGATGATACAAGAGTATCAACTTCATGGGTTTTGGGGAGAACTGTGAATTAATACACATAATTTGTTAATAACAGCATCCAGCACTTAGTGAGGAACCAAAAAATGTAAGCTGGTGTTACTGCTGGTGGCAAGTGTTTTGTCTCCTAAATATTTCTTCCTTCTCCCAAAGCAGTGGAGTTTTGTGTGCAAAACAATGAATGTCTCAATAAATACTGGATGAGTTGAACGGGTAAAGTGAGCCCACAAAATCCTACTTCAAACCCAGTGACTTCTCCCTCCCCCGCCAGTCATCTAAGGCATTTTGATGTTGAATTAGAATGTTGAAAATATTTCATGTTGCTTATAAAATGCTTTTAGAATAAAGCTAGAGAACTGGATAATATGTGAAAGTCTGGAGTAAATTAACCTTACTCTAAGCTTCACCACATACAGTTGAGCTGCTACCAACGAACAACACCATTTTACTTTTGATCAAAGATTATTCTAGTTTCAGAGAGCCTTAGCAGAGTTTCTGTTAGCCTCAAAGACAAAATTAGCTATAAAAGAAATAAGCACCCCGGGGACTGTTCTAGAAGACAGTGGGTAAGTGAATATGTTTGAATAACCAGTTCAGATTTTGCTTATTTGCTCTTTACCACAGGTTAAATCGAAATGCAACAATTTACATGCCATAAACACACAAGCTTTAGGTGGTTTGCTTTGTTTTCCAGATGGGAATCAATGTGGTGGACTCTGCAGTATCCGGATTAGGCGGCTGCCCTTATGCAAAAGGTGCTTCTGGGAATGTAGCCACTGAGGATTTGATATATATGCTTAATGGCCTGGGGCTCAATACAGTAAGTTACTTTAACATATTTTAATATTCATGCATTCCTTGCAGCTCCAAATTGCAACGCTTCTCAGATGTGGGAAGCAATTTTGAGGTCAAAGTTTTACTACACTTTTGCTATTTGCTAAAATGCACAGTGGGAAAATGCAATAAAAATTCTTTTGGGGTCTTTATAAAGTAACTCATTGCTATAGCTCAATCACCAATAATGCTACCAAGTCACATTTTTATAGTGCTTCATGACCTCTAAAGTACTTTTTCATGTATTATCTGATTTGATTTTATACACTTTGTGAGTTGGAGCCTGTGTCTTTGCTGTTACGATTGTTGAGTTTTGCAGTTTTGTTTTTTGCATGAATGTTTTTCTTGGAGAAAACTGAGATCTTGATTGTCTCACAGTGACAACTACAGCTTCTGGAAGAACTCCCAGGGCACTTTTTAAACGATCAGTGAAAGAGGGGAGCTTCGTAATACTTAGCATGTGAGACACTGGATAGCAAGAATAGTCTCTTTGCAAGTCGTACCTGAAAAGTCACGTGCTATGTAACCACATCCAACAAATTCAGCACCTTGTTTTGCCCTGTGATTGTTAACACAACCTGTTAGTCTATAGAACAGATTTATTTAGGAAAAAAATAAAAATCACAGATGATTAGTCATTTAGAATTTCTTTCTGCGATGTAAAATAATCACCTGTATTGTAAAACAAATTTTTTTACTCTCTGCTGCTCCTATTCCTCCTTTTTCCTCACTCTACTTACATTGATGCTCCTGCTGCATTGAACTTGCTTCTGGTCTACACTTCTATACCATTTTATTCCTCACTTCTACCCCTTGCTCAGGTTTTCACTACCACATGAAATGGCCTTATGCCTTGTATTCCATTTGGCCTGGAAAGTAAGACACCACCATCCTAAAAATAAGCCGTCTAGCATCTCCCTGTCTATCCCCCAAGTCAAACTGTTAGATCCCATTCCTTAGTATTTTCATGTTTTCCTCTTCATTCCCTCTGAACTTACCACAAGGTTATATAATTATCTTGTTTATGTGTCTAGCTTCCAATGCAACCACAGAGCAATTATGACAGCTTATTCATACTTTATACTTGGTGCCTGTGGCATAAAGATGCTCCATAAATATTTATTGAAAGACTGATTTCACTTGGCACTAAACACCAACAGCTGTTACCCATAAACACCAAAAGCTATTGCCTATTTTCTCTGGTTAGAAATAAATGTTATTTCATTTATATATCTTAATCATTTATATCAGAAGCTAATGACATAAAATGAGCATAAATAGCTCCTTTCTTAGAAATTTAGATGACTGAATTGAACTCCATAGCTGATAGCTGATGCTTCATATATGCTAGTTATGTTCCATAACTCCAGAGTCCAAATGCAAATAAGTCAAGTCTATTCCTAAAAGTTTTACCATCCAAGAATTGCCACATTGAGTAGCTTCCACAATTCAACTAGTCACCCAAGCTAACAAACCAAGATTCTCTATAGAATTTAATCTCACTATGGATTCCATGTCCAATCAGTTACCACAGCTGCTAATTTGACTTTAAAATATTTTGGTTGTTTGTCCCTTCCTTACTACCTCTGCTATGACTACATTGATGCAGGTCTGCACATCTCTTTCCTGGGTGTTCATCCTCTATACTGGTTGCTGGCTCTAGACTTGCCTTTAAATCCATCCTCCATGCTACCATCAAAGGATTACACCTAACATATAAGTATGAATAGGCTCTACTTCTGCTTGAGCACTGATCAGTGGATTCTAATTTCCTGAAAGCAAGCCTGTGCTCTATCACATAATCTGGCCTATTATTACCTTTTCCAGGGTTAATGGTATATTTTACCTTTATCCATATGCACCATGGATATTTAAGATATCTTGAACTGCTCGTCTGTCTGCCTACATACAGTGACCCATACATCCTCCATCCTCTTCTATATATTTTGTATAAACCTCGAATCAGGCTTCACCCTTCTTGGCACTTTTCCCTGACACATTCCTTTCTGCTTTTTTTTTCCCTTGGTTGGTTGGTGGCCTCACACCTCTGCCTCCATAATAACCTGGGCATATCTCTATTTGTGGCTTTAACTATGGTACAGAATTTTCTGTTGTGAGTCTACATTGCTTGCTTGACCTTAAAGGCAGAAACCACATTCTATGTGAGGTTCTTGAAACTCCAGAATCTATCATAGTACATGAGACATATTAAGCACCTGATAAATGATTTAAGAATACATGCAGTGTTGTTTTCATAATGATATCTACTGATTAAATAAAATGGTAGAGAAAAGTCAAAACAAAATTCTTCTTTGGTGTGATATCAGCAAATTCTACTGTATGTTACAAATGGAATTACTGAAAAGAGAAGAAAGACATTAATGGCTAAAATCTTTCTATCAACACTTGCTGGATATAATTTATAAGTGAAAGGCATCCAAAGTTAATTGTTTACAGAATTTAAGTATCATTGGATTAAGGATGTTAAATAGATACCCACGTAAAGCCATTACCACAAGAAAACCAAATTTCTCAAACCAAAGCAAATGTTAGTATCCTGAAAACAACTTTGTAATAAAAAAAAAATGAAATTTACAAGTATCATTTTATAAAATATTTTTAATTCTTAAAGAGATAAGTAATTGGCTCTATTGAAATGTCTCCAATTTCTAAAATGATATTGTTATGAAGAGCCCCTATGAGGTTTTATACTTGTCTATTTTATGAAAGTCACAGGTTTTCATAGATATTAAAAAGTACTTTATAATAGCAAGGAAAACTGAGTATTTTCAACTTTAATCCCACATTGTTTCTAGTCCATATTGAGGGAGAACATAGAAGCTTATGAAATGCCATGTAAGGACAAGTTTGTGCTTAATCCACCTAATGCTTTGCCTCCTCCTGTAACAACAAAAGTGCTGGGTGGAGACATTGATAGTGACGCTTTCATTACACCAAAGCCAAAGGCATGCCCTGAATTTGGCCTTTATACCCAACTGCATATCTGTCATCCATGGATTTACCTAAGCCTTTGTTGATCCTATTTGTACTTTCAGACAGTACAACCTCTCAGGCGAATAAGTTCCAGATGTGTACTAAATACTACTTCATTTTATTTCACTTGCAACTACCTCCTTCAATATCATACTAGTGTTTCTGAACTTGGTTTAAAAAATATATATGTATATATATGCATTCACCTTTTCCGTAATCCTTATGGCTTTTTCAAGTTTGTTTCTTCATAAAGAGGATAGTCTTTTTTCTAAGTCAGTTCTTATTTATAAACTGCTCCAAAACATTATCATTTTGATTGCCCTTCACTGATGCTTTGTAGACTGTTTTTGTAGTTCCATTATTGCCCTTCCTAGACTCTAGATACCAGCCTGAATTACGACTTTTTCAAGTGTGTCTACCTATATTATTATACAAGGGTCAGATTCAAGATATGCTGAAATAAAGCAGAAAAATCTAAAATGTTAACATTATTCATGAAAACAAATGTTGCCCCCAAATTGATAATGACCACCACCACTTTGTTTAGTAATTTTAAATGGTTAAGTAACTACTAATAAAATTTAAAAGGCTATGTTTTATCTTTTTTCTCTCTAATCCCTCTGCCTTCCTGATATTCCTTCTCTCCCTCACCAGGGTGTGAATCTATACAAAGTGATGGAAGCTGGTGACTTTATTTGCAAAGCTGTGAATAAAACCACAAACTCTAAAGTAGCACAAGCCTCCTTCAATGCTTGACTTGAATGGATTTACGATCTACGGTTGAGAAGATCAATTTCAGCTACAGTACTCATCTGAAAATCATTAGTGTCAACTTGCTCTGATATGTGAAGTAATAGACAAGAGTGGGAAAAAAGAGATCCTTTTCAAAAAGATTATAACTGGATAGATTAAGTCAACAAAAAGCAGTATCAGTCATCAGGTAAATTGCAAGCTGAGGATAAATAATAAAACTTGTCCTATTTTGAACTTGGAAAAAAGTCTCTTTTGCTCTTGTAGAAATAACTTTTTAATTTAGATGGGAAAATTGAGTTCATATTTCCCCAAGTATCAAATACTGTGTTAATACTTAATCAGGCAGGCTTAACACAGTGTACATACCGTCAGTAGTTTATGAGCTCCTGCATAGTATGCAGAGTGTGTGGCCTCAATATTATGCATTATGCCTCTGGATCTCAACTATTCATTTGCCAAGTCAGTTAAGTTATGGACCAAAAGCCAAATCTCCATCTGACCCTACATAATTTTAGCAATAGAACTTTTATATTTTGAGTATGGCTAACATCTGTTAACTATTTCAGTGACTTTATCTGGTTCCAAGAGGCTGTGGCCAATGGCAAGATGCCATATCCTGGAAACATATTACAACCTCCCATGTTTGTTACATGCATCCAGTTTACCATACTTTACCTATCATCAGTTATAGTAAAAACCAGCATGGAGTTACTCAGCTATTGAGAAATTGTAGGCTATTATTTTGGTCCTGATGTCTAAATTGCAATGATAAGAATAGGTTGATACATATATCATCATCTACCCTTATAATTTTCAGATCACTTTCAATTTGCCCAAGGAAATATCGTTGTGATCCTAAGAATATTAAGATAATTTTTGGTTAATGAAATACCTATTTTCCTTTGATTCATGGTGCTTTGATTACATCACATGATTTTTTGGTGTATTTTTAGTGGTTATTTTAAAAGTTGAGGTGACTGAAATGTTGTTTATTGTCCTAGAATTGATTGCCAGAAATTGAAAGATGTAATATATCAAAGACAGAGATGAGGAGCAGGAGGACTATTCAAGATAAACATTTCTGTAACCTATGCAAATTTTATGGGGGTAGTATTATTACACATGGATCTGAAATGTCAGTTCTAGTATTTATATAGACTTCTCTAATAATACCAGGTGATATTATCTTTGAGTAAGTTTGAATATGAATTGAAACATAAAAATGAGTGTTGTGAACTTTCTAGGAAATATTCATTAAAACCATTGAAATAAAAATAAGTTCAAGAAAGTAAGAGAAGTACTGATTATAACTATGTTGCATGGTTCTGGAGCAGGAATACTAAGAGCAATTTTCTGTTTTGGGGTTAATGTTTGGGGGTTGGGGGAAATGCAGGGAGCAGACAAAAATCAAAGCTGGTTATGAATCTTTTTCAGTTACATCTCCCTGTGCATCTCTCTTCATGAAGCACATGACCCTGCACACTGGCAGTAATGGGACACCTCCAATTAGCATGTACAGCTGGATATGTACCCCATATTCTGAGGAGACTGACTTCCTATCTCTTACAAAGCTATGCAGTTCTTAATTTGAGATATTTGGAAAAGCGTCTCTTGTTACAAACTGCTTATAGTAACAACTAAGGGGAAAGCATTGCTGTTTTGAAATGGAAACCGTGGACTTTGAAAGGCAGAGCAAGTAGTCAGAAACTCCAAGTACAGTCTAGAGCACAGTAACATATCTTCTATGTCAGTGTACTGAGTCACTTCCATGAATACCTTGATGCTACTGAATCACATTTAGTATGAGAAAGCTTGCTGTAGGTATTTGGTATCCTTTCTCCACACAAACCACCTAAATCTCTTTGACAATTTAAAGAAAGTTTCTTTTCTGGTTTTCTTTTCTCCACCTTATTTATTTTGTGGCCTCTTCCTTCTCTTCTTTATGTTTGACTGCAGACACAAATGTACAGTTGCCTCCAACCTTACAACTCAACAGGTGGTGCAAGACCAGCAGGATCATCCCCTGGGACCTTTTGAGAAACAGAATCTGGGACTTCACTCCATATCCACTGCATCACAGTTTCCATTTTAAACAAGATCCTCATATGACTCATATGCAAATTAACTTTGAGAAGCACTTGCCTATTTGATACCTCCTCTTGGGTGTCCAACAGGCATCTCAGGCTTCATATATATTCAAAATTCTTGTACCATTTTTCACTTTGTGCTCTGTAGTCCACCCCATTGTCTTCTGTTTTTGGAACAAGACACACTCAGATCCATCTCAGGTCCTTCCTTTACCTTAGTTTTTTTCTCTGCCTGTAAAGCTGTTTTCCTGGCTTTTTCCCTGGGCATGACTGGCTCCCTCTTGTCATTGAGGTCTCAGCATAAATTTTACCTCCTTAATGAATCTTCCTGGACAACTCAGTTTAAAGTAAGTCCTTTACACTCTCTCACATCAACTCATTTAATTATTAATTTTTACCTATTATTTGTTTATTCTTTCTTTCTTCAACAGAATATATACTCCATGAGAGTGAGGGTTTTGCTATCTTCTTCACTGTTAGTTCCACATTGCCTAGAACATAGTGCTAGGGTCTAGCACTAAATACCAATAAATGTTAGTCGGAGTCAAGAATAGAAATGGGTTTAATTCAAACATTTGGGAATTAAAGGAAGGAAACTATTCTGCATGAACTCTACACATATATTTCCTGAGCCCTTAATAGATTTTTAGGATTTTCCAGTTTATATGTTGAATGATTGAATTAAGTAATGAATGCATATATATATACCAAAGAGGATGTTTAGAAATGTTGGGTAAACCAAAACTGTAAGGGAAATATATATATTTTTAAGCAGAATAAAGTAAAAGTGAAACTGCTGGAATTGATAACAACAAATTGACAATATCAATAACAGAAACCTTCCTGAGGTAAAGAGGCAACAGCTATAATAAGCAACTAATCAGCTTTGCTATGGGCATTAAGAAGTGCATGCCATTGCTTTCTATGTGTTTTACACACATGCACACAGGCACACACACACATGCATACATAATACACCATTCCAGATATGGCCAGAACAATTTAGATTATTCATCAAACTTCTGTCACCTGTCTCTTCTCTATCAAAGAAACAAGAACTGCATTGCCTATTTAAAAGTCCACTGTAACATGTCATCGAAGAAAAGCAAGCCTGTTGTATCAGCTGTCATCTATATTATTAAGAGATAAAAATTTTGTAATGACTTGATATCAAGACCTCATTACTTCAGTATTCCTTAAATTCCTTTAGTAATTTATAGGTATTTCAGAGTCAAGTCTTAGCAGAGACATACTCTTAATTTTCTGTCGCTGATACATAAACAAACTTATTCTCTGTGATCTCAATTCATGTTGTACATTAGATTAATTAGTGGATGATGGGAGAGGAGTTTAGCAATATTGATGCCTGAACTTCACCCTTGGATATTTTGATTTCATTGGTCTGGAGTAGTACACTTCAAGCATCAGCATTTAAAAAAAAAAATGTATACAACAATTCTCATGTGCAAGTTTAGTTGAAAATCTCTAATTTAGAACAATGGTTTTGAAAGTGTGATCCCAGGAGGAGCAGCAGCAGCAGCAGCAGCAGCATGACTTGCTTTTCTCAGGAGCTTCATCCAGAGAAAACGGCATCATCTCAGAGTCAGCTATAAAATCCAGATTGTGAATCTGTGTATACTATAGAGATAAAGGACAGTAAGAGGACACCAGCTATATTAGCCCATCCTTGCCTTGCTATACCTAAGAGTAGGTAATTTATAAGAAAAGAGGTTGAATCTCATGGTTCTGCAGGCTGTACAGGAAATATAGCGCCACCATCTGCTTCTGGGAAGGCCTCAGAAGGTTTTAACTCATGGTGGAAGGTGAAGTGGGAGCCAGCACTTTACATGGCAAAAACAGGAGCAAGAAAGAGAGTAGGGAAGAGGTACCACACTTTATAACAACTATCACCAGGACAGCACCAAGAGGATATTAAACCATTCTTTAGAAATCCACCCTCGTGATCCAGTCACCTTCCACCAGGGTTCATCTCCAACACTGAGGGTTACAGTTCAACATGAGATTTAGAGGGAATACATATCCAAACTACATAATCAACACATTAGAATTCAAATTAGGATTCACTAGAGATGCAAATTTTCAAACTCCAGCACAGATGTACTAAATCAGAAGCTCTGGGTTGAGGCCTAATAATCTTTGTTTTTACAGATCCTCCAGGGGATTCTGAGGAGCCCTAACGTTTGAGAATCACTGACCTTCTAAGGCAGTGATTTACCACACTTGTAATTGGTAGAGGAAAAAATGTATACTATTTAGCTTATTGTATGCCCTATATCCACACAACAAAGCATCATTTTGAACTAGCACTCATATAATCCAAACAGGCATACATTTCCAGCCTACATTTCCAATGTGAACAGTGCTTACGAGAGGAGTGAAGTATACGAAACAGATGCCAATTTCCTCTGCCACATTCCTTCCCTTGACTCTGTTTCCCAGCTTCATAAGTTGAAAGAGTCATATGAATAGCCTCATTATTAGGATTTTCTCCAGGAGGCTTGAGTCTGAGAAAAATTCCACCAGGGTTCTACTGATTCTTCTTTGACACCATCTGATCTTAGGCTCTGGAAGCACACAATCCAGTTCTGAGTCTTGGCTGTATTACTCAATGGCTATGCAAACTTATTCAATTTACCTAAGGTCTTTAAACCTAATTTCAAACCTCACTTCCTTCACCTGTAAAACTCAGATAATAGCCTTTATTTATACAGCTATTGGAGGGATTTCATGAAGTAATGCTTATAAGTGTTTGGCAAAGTGCCTAGTACTTAGAAAGTAATCAATAAATGTTAACAATCATAACTTTTAGTATCATTTCCTATAGCACTGCCCTGGAGTGGAACTTCCCCTCCATTGTCAGTTAACAATTAGAGAGGCTCTCTTTCTATATCCTGTTCCATGTACAGTGTATGTTGTCTTAAAGGGCCTGCAATAATTCTCAAAAAGGCAGCTCGTCATCAAACTCCAGGACCACATAGTCTTAAATTGGCACCAGAGTCCCATGCTTTCCTTATCATGCTGTACCACTGACGTATGCATGCTGAGCTAATTCTTTTCTGCATTTCATATGGCAGTAGTCTGCTACAGGAACTTGTTTTGAGACTTTTGCTGAGTACACTTATCTAAGAAATATAGTAGGTTGAACTCTATATCCTGCATCATCTAAAGTCAAAAATTTCATGAACGTTAGGAATTTGTTTCAGTCTTTTGGCAGTTGGACAGGTGAGCAGATAGATTTTGACATCTGTTTTCATATGAGTTTTATTTATTTGGTGGACTACTACCTAGAAAGCTTCCGCTTTCTTCTTGTTCTTCCTGGTTCCGTTGTAAAGCAGAACCATGTGCTTAGTTGAGTACTTTGCTTCCATGAGGGTCACCTTTCCTTTGACTTGAGCCATAGTATCAAACTTATATGGCTTATGAAAGGGATTATGCCCCTCTAGGAATTAAGAGGAACTAAATCAAAACTTCTGATGATCATTCCATCTAAACTTTCCTTCTCCAGCTGGTTATTCAAGACCCCTGTCATTAGTGAAGCAGAGCAAAATATCATAGGTAGCCAGCCAGACCATTATCCTGAATCCTGAAAAGGTGCCTTCAGTCAGAAGGTTTTCACAGTGACCTCTATCTGTACACTAATGCCAATATATTGGATTGTTGGGCAGACATTCCAGCAGCATTCGGAGAGGTCCACAGAATTACAAGGAATCACTGCCTGCTTTTTGCAGGAGCTTCGTTTAGATAAAATTTAATTATCTGGTAGTCAGCTCACAAAATTTATACTGTAAATGTGTGTATACTCCAGAGGTGAAGGGAAGCTGTAGAGTGCCAATATCTGTCTCCTTCTTATAACAGCCTGTATGCTCAGTACCTATCACATTAGTATAAAGGAAAACATATCTATGGACCTTCCTTTAATCAAAGAGTATGTCATTGTTTTTCTCAACTGTAAACATCTTCAAAGAATTTGAGGACCAAAGTAGTTCATGCTAGAATTATGGGCATGAGGAAGAAGTGAGAAACATGTGATGACAAATAGAGCGTAAGTGGGGATAGATATGTTTCTGTAAGGGGTTTGTACATATGTATAGAAGATACGTCCATCCAGACATTAAAAGCCTGTTAGTATTCTCCTACCTCCTGGACATTTTTTTTTTTTTTTTTGTGATACACAGTCTCACTCTGTCACCTAGGCTGGAGTGAAGTGGCTCACTGCAACCTCCGCCTCCTGGGTTTAAGCGATTCTCATGCCTCGGCCACCAGAGTAGCTGGGATTACAGGCATGTACCACCACACTTGAATAATTTTTGCATTTTTAGTAGAGACGGGGTTTTGCCATGTTGACCAGGCTAGTCTCGAACTCCTGACCTCAAGTGATCCTCCCGCATCAGATTCCCAAAGTGCTGTGATTACATGCATGAGCCACCTCACCCGGCTGGAAATTTTCTTTTACCATTAATTGACTAGAAGCTGTTCCCTGAAACTTCTGGATTTCTACAACAGTGCACCATTTTTATTGGGTATTTAATGTTTGCAGTCATGGTTGTCCTTCAAAGTTGTCATTTTGGGAAGCTATGCATTCATGTTAATAACATTATCTTTTAGAATTGGAATTACATTGGGTCTCTTCCATAAAAGAAACTAAATGTCACTACTATAGAGTCATTTTGTTTTTATATTGTGCTAATATTGTTAAGACAGTATTAACCATATTTGTCTTGTTAATTTAGTTAAGATGATATTTATCAATTTATTTGTCTACTTTATTCACCAGATTTTTGTCCAAATGACATTCAGTTATTTCTAAAAATCAAATCCAGGCTGACAAAAAACAAATTTTTACTTTCCAGTTAATTCAAAAGAATGTGTCAAATGTTTCTAAGACAATTTCAGTGAGTAGTAAATAAACACATTTGCTTTACTGGCAGAATGTTTGAATAGTTTTCTAGAGTTGCAAGGCAATGATTTTGAAAAGGTATCATTCACTTCTATATTAGTTTAAAAATCATATTTTACTTTTAGATTTCTTATAAACCATATATAATACCATGTTCTTTATCTAAATAAAGATGAACTATTAAAAATATGATTCCCAGATAAGTGAAGTTTCCACTTTATATCACAACTATTTAAAGAATAAACATTTTTGTAGGAAGTATCATTGTGGTCAGACTTATCTTGTTTAAATCAAATATAACTTACTTTCCCCCAGTTTATAAGCTCCTTGTGGTACACAAGGCCAATCCTAACGTAGATTCTATATACCATCTAGCATAATTTCCTGGTATCTACTTCCACCCTCCCTTTCATCACCTCTGTTCAAACCCCCTCAAAACAAATCAGTAGTTTTGAGTTCCTTTCTTTCATGTTCATTTCTTGGGCTTCACTAGTCTTCTCCCTGAGGTATCTTGTACTCACCCAGCACGTTCCCTTGGCAATTTGTTCAAATTTGATCACTCTTTTGTGTGATTATTTGCTATGTGTTAGCCTTGCTCACTTGACTATGAGCTTCTAAAATGCAGAGACCATATAATATACCTGTATATCCCCAGTATTCCTCATGATGTCTAACACATTAGAGCATCTCATAAGTAATTGACATGACTTTGCTATCTTGAGAAATTGGAAATGTTAGTATAAGCTTTATTAACAATTTTAGTTGCTCTTCAAATGTGTATGGTAAAATATAAGCCCTGTTCTGAATACCCTAAATTATACTGTTTTGAAAAGCTGTGCCTTCATTTTCCTAATTTCGGAGTGTACTTCCTCTTAAGGGAGCTCTTGAAATTTTCCATTTTAATTACTATTTTAAATACCTGAAGATGGGGAGTCCTAGCAAAGCATAAGTAGCCAAGATATAGCTGATGTTTGAACAACTCTTGCTAGACTACTCTCACATACAAGATAATAAATTGTGAACGAATTTGTAAGTTCTGAAAAATAATTTAAATAGCACAAATACAAATCAGAGTTATTTGCCTATAAGATTCAGAATTTTATTAATTTAAGAAATGTTTCTCATGCATATGTATAAAATAAACATTTTGCTAAGTTCTCATATTTCAATGGTAAACAAGGCAGACACAATGCCTGTCTTGATGGATATTATACTCTAATGCTGAGAAGGTAACTTCAAGGTAACTGCAAGTTTTATGTGCACTCTGTAAGTTGATAGATTTAGATGCACAGGTCAAATGAACAGATGCAACTGGGTAACTCTAAAGTATATCTGATGTACTTGACAGTGTCTTCCAGATAAGACTAAATGGAGCCCAAGATCTAAACCAGCCTATATTATTGGAGATCAATGGTACTTAAGTGGAAAAATACAAAGGAGTTTCTAAAAAAATTTAGTTAAGTTTAATTATAGTTCTAGTAAATTATATACTTCTATGTACTTGTCTATTTTTACGTCAATCTCTATCTTCCTCAAAATTATTTGTTTTGGTTTTGACTATTTGTCAAAATTATTTATCTTGGTTTTGACTATTTGTCACCAAATTCTAGCATCTGTAGACAAGCATGTACTATTCATAGATTTATATCAGTTCTCATATCTTTGCCACAACACCAAAGTTAAAGGGCATGTGTGTGTGTGCACGCACACACACACACACACCAAACTGAGACCCTGAAAGTCTAAGCCATTGACTACCTTATAACTTCCCATTCATTTCATCATCATTTAAAAAATATTTATTGAGCACTTACTGTACAGTTAGGATTGTGTTTACCTGCAAGTAATAATACAGAGTACATGACTTCAGTTATTGTCTTAATGCCCTGTGTAACAAGCGTAGGTAACCACTGACAACTTTCAGGTCTCCTTCTCTTTCTGTGCTACATGTGATCAAGAAGATAAGAAAGCCCAGGTACTCCCTCCATTGGTGCTGGTGAGAAGCTCAAACCAACACATGACCACCAGCAGGAAAAGTTCAAACTATGCAGGAATCCTCACCTTGGCTTTATTCCCCAGCCAATAAAGCCCAGGGACACTTGCCCCTTCCTTCACTCAAGCTATTTTTAGATCTGCTTTGCTTTCTACCCTGTTCTTTCCAGAAAGTTTAATGCATGAATAATTTACCTCTTCATACCCTCTTGGAATGTGTGTGGCATTATCAGTCTCAACATCTGAGCCAGTTTTGTGGGGAAGTCCATCCTGTCAATGTGAGTGTTTACAACACTCTATAATAAACACCATCTTTCAACTTCAGCATCCTTGTTAGCTTGGGAAGAGGTTAGCTTTCATCTTCATACTAATTTCCTAATGGTTCCAAGATAGCTGCCACTCAAACTTTACATTTATGTTCAAGGCCAGAAGAAGGAACAATAGCAATCTTTCTGTCTATCTCTAAAATTATTGGTTTCCCAGGAATCCTGAGTTTCATTGGCCATTAACTGTGTCACATCACAACTAATCACTTAGTTGTTAAAGAGTCTGGGATTTCAAGAATTGTATTTGGGTGTATTGCCACACCAAACAAAATCATAATTCTATGTATTAACATGGGTGAGACTGAATCCTGGTAAAGCAACTATTTAAGTCAACCTTACCACGTAGGAGCAAGGACGTGCTATGTGCTAGGGATGTAACAGTGAATAAACTTATCAATGATTCTTTATGGAATGGTCTAATGGGGGAATCACAAAAATTATGATACAATGACAATTGCACTTGTAATAAGTGCTATGAATGAGAAGTTCTTTCTCTAAGTTCATCTTTCTCTAAGTTCATTTTTCTCCAACTTGGGTGTTGTGACAAAGATCTGAGAACTGATGTTATAAACAAATCTATAAATGGTACATGATTGTCCATAGATGCTAGAGTTTGAGGACAAATAGTGAGTCAAACCAAGATAAGTAATCTTGAAGAAGATAGATATTGACATAAATAGCACAATTGCACTTGTAATAAGTGCTATGAAGGAGAAGTTCATCTTTCTCTAAGTTCATCATATTCTCTAGTATATAACCAAACATGTCCATGCAAAGGACATGATTCATGAGATGAGATCTGAAAGAGCAAGGTGTTATATAGTAGAAGAGGAAGGGGAGAAAACATTTCTTGTGAAGGGAACACATGTGGAAGAACTCTCTGGAAGGAGAAAGCATGATGCATTTCTGGAAACTGAAAGTAGGCTAATGTGGTTGAAGCACAGGGGAAAATGGAGGAATCTGGATGTCCAATTAAGAAGCTCATAAATTATAATATGCGAAGAATTCATTTAGCCAGCTGCTTGGACATTATGTTTAGAGCTTCAAATTTCTATGATCTTGTGGTGTTTGAGACACAACAATCACTCACCCACTTATGTATTTGTTTAATAAAATAAGTCATAAATTACAAAAGACAAATTACTTAACAGGAATTTTACTATATATGGTATGATATCATTAGTTCAATAAATGTTTCTCAAACACCACTTACATTCTTTAGGGCTGAATAAATATAAAGGAAATACATTGGTTTCCTTCCTCCAATTGTCTGGCTGCTAAGGAGCATTTGGAATGATGACCATCTTCATGACCATCTTTTTAAATTTTTGAATTACCTTGAGATTCTTGTAGTGGAAGGAAGGGGATGAATTTCCAACTCCTTCCCCGTTATTGGTCATACAATTGATATTCTACTGGAGGCGAGGGGTATGGCAAGTATAGCAAAAGAAAAATTACTATATATTTGGATATGTATACTGAAATGTGAATCGGTAGGTAAAGCTGTAAAATATGATCCAGGAAAAAAATAGGATATAATAACAAACTAGAAATGCATAGTAAAGACCATATATAGGCATACCTCATTTAATTATGTTTTCCTTTATTATGCTTGCAGATTTTTTTTTCTTTTATTTTTAAACAAATTAAAGGTTTGTAGCAACTCTGCATAGAGGTTGAGCAAGTCTATCAGCACCATTTTTTCTAACAGTGTGTGCACACTGTTTCTCTGTTACATTTTAGTAACTCTCACAATATCTCAAACTTTTTCACTATTATCATATCTATTATGGTGATCTGCGATCAGTCATCTTTCATGTTACAATTGTAATTGTTTTGGGGAGCTATGAACCATGCCTGCATAAGATGGCAAACTTAGTTGTGTGTTTTCTCTTTCTCCTTGGGCCTTTCTATTCCCGGAGACAAAACAATATTAAAATTAAGCTGATTAACAACACTGTAATGGCCTATATATGTTCAAGTGAAAGGAAGAGTCACATATTTCTCTTTAAATCAAAAGATAGAAATGATTATGCTTAGTAAGGAAGGCATGTTCAAAGCCCAGATAGGCTGAAAGCTAGGCCCCTTGTGCCAGTTAGAAAAGTTGTGAATGCCAAGAAAAAGTTCTTAAACGAAATGTAAAAGTGCTACTCCAGTGAACATGCAGATAATAAGAAAGTGAAACAGCCTTACTGCTGATATAAAGTTTGAGTGGCCTGAACAGATGATCAAACCAGCTACAACATCCCCTTAGTCAAAGCCTAATCCAGAGCAAGGCCCAGATTTTCCTTAATACAATGAAGGCTGAGAAAGCTGAGGAAGTTGCAGAAGAAAAGCTTGAAGCTAGCAGAGGTTGGTTAATGAGGTTTAGGGAAAGAAGCCATCTTCGTAACATAGAAGTGCAAGGCTAAGCAGCAAGTGCTGATGGAGAAGCTGCAGCAAGTTGTTCAGAAGACCTACCTAAGATCATTGATCAAGGCAGCTACACTAAACAGATTTTCAGTGTAGACAAAACAGCCTTCCACCAAAAGAAGATATATCTAGGACTTTCATAGATTGGAACAGTAAATGCCTAGCTTCAAAGCTGCAAAGGACAGACTGACCTGTTAGGGGCTAATGCAGCTGGTGACTTAAGCTGAAGCCAGTGCTCATTGACCATTCAAAAAATCCTAGGGCCTTTAAGAATTATGCTAAATCTACTCTGTCTGTGCTCTGTAAATGCAATAACAAAGCCTAAATGACAGAACAGCTGTTTATAGCATGGTTTACAAATATTTTAAACACACTGTTCAGACATACTGGTCAGGAGAAAAATTCAAAATGTTACTGCCCATTGACAATGTACCTAATCACCCAAGGGCTCTGATGGAGATGTATAAGGAAATTAATGTTGTTTTCACGCCTGCTAACAAAATACCCATTCTTCAGCCCATGGCTCAAGAA